TTTTAGCAAGTTCTACAGGGGTACCTATATACCCATTTTCTACAGGGTTTTCTATCCTGATATGTCCTATATTCATATGAGGTATCTCTGTATTTTCATTACAGAATACCTTATAATCTACCTGTTTTCCTTCTATTATAGTTGGTAGGATTATATGTCGTATTTCTATTGGCATTTCCTTGAAATGTCCATACAGACTATCATTTTCTTCGTCTGTTTCTGCTATTCCATACCCTTTATTTGTTTCTTCTTCTTTTTCACTTTCATATTCATGTTGAATACTTTCATAATTTTGCCATGCCATTTCTGGTGGAGTGTAGGCATAGGCTTTTTGCCATTCTTCATCTGTTAATTCACTATTTCTTGCTACAGGATATTGTGCTGTTTGTCCATTCCATGGTATTTCTAATATTCTAGTATCCTCATCTTCATATCTTATTGGTTTTGAGGATTCACCTGTTTCTTCTTGATTATTATACCTATTTTCATAATAATCATTTACATCATCTTCTATGATGTTATCTAATTCATTCATTTCTTTTTCATCTTCAGATGTTATTTCTTCTTTTCTACTTTCTTGAAAGAGTTTTCTTCTAATATCTCTTTCTCTTTTCCATTTATCTCCATTTGTAGATGATAAATTTGTATTAGTTGATACAACTGTTCTTGTTCTTTTATATCTCACAGGTGGTTTCTGAAGTTTAAATTCTTCTTCATCATTTTCTAGGTTTATTTCATTTTTTAAACTAGAAGGTATTTTTGGTAGGCTTGATGTACTACTATTTCTTCCATGTGTTCTTTTAAATATTGGATCTACAATATTTTTATTTACGAAGTCTTTTATTGGAGAGCTTGGCCTAGGTGGTTCTTTTGCTTGACTCTTTAGCCATTCTCCTAAGTTTCTACTTTTGAGATTAAAGTCTTCTTCACTAGAAGTTGGAGATACAGGTCTTTCTCTATAGATATTTTCTTTTGGTATATACCTATTATGAGTAGCACCTTCTGGTGGGAATGGTTTAGGTTGTGGTTTTCCTTTTATTAGTTTTTGGTCTTCCACAAATCTTTTTTCTACTTCATCATCATCATGCATTTTTCCTTGATTTTCCAATGATGATGCTAATAGTTCTTTATATTTGTCCTGAAATTGTTTTCTTACTTTTTCATTTGAGAATTCTGATCCTATCAAGAAGTTTCTCATTGCTATCTGTTGTTCCCATTGTTGCATTTGATTGAACTCTTCTTTTGTCATATTTAATAATGTATATTTATTAAATTGATATTCTTCTTCTATTTGTTCAATCACATCTTTATTTTTCCATACTTGTTGATCTCCTGACTCTGTTAATGCTCGTATTACATTATATAAGGCTTTCTTTCTATCTTCTTCTTTATCATTGATATTTATTTTTGCAGTTTTTTCTACTGTTCCTAGATGACTTTCTAACTCTTCATCTGGTAAGTTTGATACATATTTGTAGTTATCTTCAATAGTTTGAAGTCTATATCTTAACTGTTTTAAGCCTTTTTCAATTTCTTTGCTATTATTTTTCTTTTCTTCTTGTAGTACTCTTTCCAATTGTGTAAGATTTTCTTTAACAAATCTTCCCATTCTAGGAGTGTCTGGTATAGTTTCTTAAATTGCTTTTTGTTTCCCTTTTCTATTCTTGGGAACTATTTTATTGGTTTCTTTAAACCTTTTGATTTCTTCTTGTACATCTACAATTAATTGTTCATTCAATTTTTGTTGTGCTTTATTAATTGGTTTTTCATGTTGAGCATGTAGTGTCATGCGTCCCATTTGATCAGCTAAATCTATTATGGCTGGTTCTTCAAATTGCATTCCATAAGGAATCTCAGCAATTCCTTCATAGTTTTCTTTGTTTTGTTCTAATTCTTGATCCTTTTTCTTGGACCATTCTTCCTGTATTGTTTCTTTATTCAATACATCATTAGCAAATTCTCTTAATTTTGCTACTTCATGAATTTG